TTTAAAAACGTCTTTGGGAGTGAATGAGTTAAGCACTTATGGTCGTTTGTTCACTTTGAGACAAGTTGAGACGAATACAGCGGATGACGAAACCCTGCATTTGTACGCAAGTCGGAAGATGCCGCAGCCCATCGCGAAGCCGCACTCAAGTCGTATTTTCAGTGGCAGAATGTTGACATCGAGGACTCCTGTTTCCATGCCGGCAAAACCGATCTAACTCAAGAATTCCCAACAAATACAGAACCTGTAAATCCATCCAATTTTGCCATCCCCAAAAAAAATCCCAGATTCAATCCAGAATTTAGCATTTTTATACTTGACCCGTACTTCACGCTTTGCCAAAACAGATCGTACATCTCCAAACTCCTTTTTAAAGTGGCAACACTACAGAACCAACAAACGGCAATGAATTCGTATGCCATAGGAAAGCTTGATTATCCCTCCCGAAACCACGGCGACGCAGCCTAGTTCATTGCGTACCGTTTGCAACCTAAACGCCACATGTCGTGAAAGCATCGACCTGGAGTCAAAAGTCTTCTCCCTATTCAGTTTTCCCCCCCCTTTCCTGTTCTTTTACCGCACTAGTGCCGGCGGCGGGGAGATCTTCGACCAGTGTGTCGCCGACAATGACGACGCCTTCACAGAGAAAGACGTCATCCGGTTGGCCCGACAGATTCTGATGGGGGTGGCTTTCCTGCATTGCAACAATGTCGTGCATCTCGATCTGAAGGTAAGACGCCCTAGATGGGACGTTACGTGACTACATGGGGCAGACTACCTGTAGGTGGCGGAGGCGTTTAGCTAGTTATGTAAGCCCGGCGCGCAGCCTAGTTCTCAGGGGGGGATGGCGGGGCTTTCAAATGAGGTAACAAGGCTATTATTTTTAATATTGTAAGGGTCGTTGTCCTTTAAGTATCCGGTTTCTCCCGCCAGAAAACATGTCATCTTGATAAAAGTAATCCCTAGTGGGTCCATGATTGGGGTGTCAGGAGATTCGGTTCCCAAGCAAATTTGGCGTTCATCCAAGCCATTGTGCACTGCAACAATTTAGCCGGGAAGTCATCGGATGCGATGTCCGACCCGTTCTCCCCTGATTGGCTTAGCTTAGATCTAAGGCTCGGCGAGATGCCGACTGACGGCGTGGACTTCCAAATCCCCTTGGGGTCTTTTTAATCTCAAACCAAGCGCCAAATCCCATTCGCTACTACTGATTTTGGCGCTTATGTAACCTCGGGCCTTCCAATCCTGCAGCCACAGAACATCCTGCTGACCAGCGCGAGGCCCCTGGGTGACATCCGCATCGTGGATTTCGGCCTGTCCAGACACATGGACAGCATCAGCGAGGTCCGGGAGATTCTGGGTACTCCGGAGTATGTCGGTAAGACCAGAGACTACCCCATAATATCGTACCACACACATGAAAAAAAAAATTCAGTTACTTGTAGTTTTTTGGGGATTCACTCAGGACTTAAGGACACGCCCTCACAAATATTGTATGTCATTTTTTAGCCTATTCACCATCGGCTAATTGGGGTCATTTGTGTTCTAGCACCAGAGATTCTGAGCTATGAACCCATCAGCACTGCTACGGACATGTGGTGAGTGTACCCTATAGCTGATCCCCGACCCTGAGGGGTAAAACTGTGCTTCAAAGCTGACAAGTTTCTCTTGCGGCGGCCAGGAGCATCGGGGTACTGACCTACGTGATGCTGACCGGCGAGTCGCCCTTCCTGGGCGATGACAAGCAGGAGACGTTCCTCAACATCTCACAAGTCAGCGTCGAGTACTCGCACGATACCTTCCAGGACATCTCGCCACTGGCCGTCGATTTCATCAAGTCGCTGTTGGTGAAAAACCCCAGGTGAGGTTGACGGAGACATACGTAGACATTCAGGATGTGAGTCAGGCCGGAAACGCGTGCGAAATGAGCGCATGAGGCGCAAATCGGTTTCCTCTTGCACAAGTTCTGACTTTATTTTGTCGCATTTTTGTCGCGGTTGCTTTAAAGCGGATGCGTGACTCATTTTTGATGAATATTGTATAGATGTATCCTTTTTTTCCCCCTCAAAATATATTGCGCATAAGTCAAA